CGCCCTTATTCCCCAAACCAAAACCCTAAAACCCTAATCCCAACCCTAATCCACAACTGGCTCTTCCTCCGTCACAATCCCGACCCCAATTCCTCCTCCGCCGCCTTAATCGCCTCTCGAACCCAGAGCCTCTGACGCCGCCTCTGCCCTTTCTTCCTCCGCGATCCCGTCGGCACGATCCTCGAGCAACAGCAACACCGCAGACCCAGGCGTTGCTCTTCTTCAGTAAGAAAAATTCTGAACTTCAAAATTTCTTCTCATCTTTGGAAAAAGAAGGAAACACCCAATTTTGATTCCGGGTTTTTGCTTGGATTTCCAGTTGGATGGGGCTGAGTCGGAGGGCGGGAAGCGATTTAGAGAAGATTTTGTGCTTTTGATTAGAGGGCTGGATTCTGCTGCGGCTTCTCTCGTGCAGCTCACTGATTCTCTGAATGCAGCTCAAAAGGTAACATCTTTTTAACCATTAATTCTTATTTATTTTATTTTTTTCCAGAAGATTTCAAATTGGGAAATGAGTTTTCTTAATACCCAACTCAAAAGGTACTCTCTCTTCTTACAATCTATGGAAATTTTGAGGGCCATTTTAATACCCAACTCAAAAGGTACTCTCTCTTCTTACAATCTATGGAAATTTTGAGGGCCATTTCCAAATTTCCCTTGATCTCCACTCAAGTTGGTCCTCTTCTTACAATCTATGGAAATTTTGAGGGCCATTTCCAAATTTCCCTTGATCTCCACTCAAGTTGGTCCTCTATATGTATAGTACAGAATCTATTTAGCTCCTTTATTATGTGTTTGCTACCCAAAATTGATGTGCTATTATATTAATTTTTTCAGCTATCATGTCTTTAAATGATCAATTTAGCATCCATGATGATGGTAGTGGTGATGAGATTACTTCTAAACGTAAAAGAAGACAAACATCAAAAGTTGATTAGCGGTGTAATCCATTTAGGTTGGAATTTTGTTTTAAGCTGATAAAATGAGGGTGTGATCGATTGATTAGTGAAAATTTGCAGTTTTGGTTGTAGGGCAAATGCTAATTTTGGATTTTGTTACTTTAAAATCAAGATACATTGAGAATTATGATTTGCTGAATAAGAGCATGAGAATCTAGACGCGTTCCTAGTAGAAGTTATGATTTCTGATACACCCGTTATTGGCGATTAACATGACTGCATTCAGTTTCATGCATTTGGGATGACAATGGCCCGAGCTCTTAACTTCCTTGCATTTCGTTACTAATAGGCTGGTTGCACACAAAACATTACTGAAGTTAGTTGGTCTTTAGGTTACTTTCTAGTGTCCTGAACAGGACACCCGAAGATATCCCAGGCATGATGCTATATGCCTAGGAGCTTTAATTTATCACGCCGTGGATGCAACGCTTGAGTAGTGGGCCCATCTTTTAGAGCAGGCTGCTTGCATTTGCTTCCTAGGAAGTAAATATTGGCAGGTGATCGATCATAAAGAACTAGCTTACATATGACTTTTCTCAGAGGCTGGCAGTAACATTTTGCATCAGTACTACTTGCTATACATTACATGATACATTATACATACCTGATACATAGTTTTGGAACTTTGTGAATATAGTTCGGTGATACAGTCTTATTGTACTTTATTGTCCATCAACTTTCTCATTGCAGGAAATTATCAGACATCACAGGGAAATGCTTAACCATCCGATCAGCCAGTGCACTGTAAAATCACTGCTCTGGCAACTGCTCAATGGTCTTAATTATCTTCATAGGTAAGATTTACATAGACAGTGGCAAAATGGTTAGTACTCTTGTCAAATTCGTCTTCCATTGTTGCTTAGCATCTCCATTTACTGTGCATATGGTGTTTATACCCTCCTTGTTAGGATTATATGACTTATCTAAATATATTTTTCTTCAGTAATTGGATTATACACAGAGATCTTAAGCCATCAAACATACTGGTATGTTTATGGATAATTACGAGTAAAATTTTAGAATAGGCAGACATAATATTCAGACAAATTCTTAATGTAACTCCATGTTGGACTTTGATGTGAATTAGGTTCTGGGTGAGGGGGAGGAACAGGGGATTGTGAAAATTGGTGACTTTGGACTTGCAAGAATTTATCAAGCTCCTTTTGAAGCCTATGTGATAATGGAGTAAACACTTTACATCCATCATGTGTCAAAATAGTAGTCATTTGTTTTCTATTTTTTAATTATGTCAACTTGATTGTTGAGCAGCCAAGCATCCTAATGCATTTTTGAGATGAATGTTGAACAATTTGGTTGAAAAATGTATTATGGCCCAAGATGTCATGCGAATTTCTAGAATGAAAGCAATTTCTCTATCATGAAGAGCAACTCCTCCCCCCTGAGACAGTGAGCTAGTTTGTCAGCTATGATTGCCAAGCAATGTGTTGACCCTCAGAAATGTAAGCAAGAAAAAGTGATGGTGCTGATGCTTCTATATTTTCAGCAATCTTCACTCTGTAAACTTTCTCAAATAGCACAAGTGTAAGATGATGGTCTAATCATGTGATTTGGATGGCATATTTCACTATGTGGATATCCGCAGGTACATATAATTTGGGCTGTAATGGTATCTGCAAATATGAAAAAATTGAATCGGAAGGCGAAAGTGATTAGCGTTGTAATCCATTTACTTTATTAAGTTGTTGGCATCTTTTCTTATATTAGCGTTGTAATCCATTTACTTTATTAAGTTGTTGGCATCTTTTCTTATTTGTGTGCAAGTCATTTTTGTAGTTATTTTTGTCTCTTTATATATCAAAGTTGTTGGCATCTTTTCTTATTTGTGTGCAAGTCATTTTTGTAGTTATTTTTGTCTCTTTATATATCAAGAGTTGTTTGCTTGTTTCTTTCAGGGTACAGGAGGTGTTACAATCAAGAAAACTAATCTTGATTAGTAATTTTAATGCTATCTTGTTCAATATGTTCATGCTATTCCTAAATAGGTTATGTACATGCTTGTGCATATTTTGATAATTCAAAAAGTTTACAAAAAACCCCCAATAGTTTATAAAAAACCCTAAAAGTTTACAAAAAACATCTTAAAAGTATTATACATATATAATTATTATAGTTAAATGGGCAAATGGGCGGCCCATTTATTAAATGGGCGGGCAAAAACCCACCCATTTAGAAAATATTAAATGGGCTATAAATGGGTGAATGAGCAAAACATGCCCGCCCATTTATGGCCCGCCCATTTAATACCCAAACCCACCCATTTAACATCCCTATTTATATCTATATTCACTTATGCCTTTTGACAGGGAAGCATCCTTTATATATGTTTTCTAACCTATGCAAAAATGTAGGGGGAGCTTTAGCTCTCACCTTATTTATTCTCTATTTTGATGTTGACAAAGGGGGAGAAATATTATGGATGATTTGTATTTTGGTTTCATATTGCATGCTTTATATATTATTTCATAAATTGTTTGTCATCATAAAAAAGAGGAAGATTGTTAGGACTCATGTGTATGAGCCTACTCTCTAATATTTTTTTTGATGATTTAACAAATAATTTATAACTAAGTTTGTTTCTAGTGATTGTGGCTTGTTTCATTATCTAGGTTGACGATATCTGATGAAAAGCTATTCTTTCAACAGTCAAACATTCAAGAGCAAGCCATGTTCTCAATCAATTAGATATATTTGTTTCATGTAGTATATATTGTGTGAAACTATTTCAAGCTCAATAATATACACACACAATATTGGATTTTCTCACAAAATGAGCTATTTTGAGAAAACTTAGTGATAGTGGTTTGTTGATCGTATTTACTTTTCATTCATGTGTTATAATGCTTATGAAAGCATTTCATAAGGTTTCATAACTCTTTTCATGTAAAAAAATCTAAATTATAGTTCTCTCATAAACATGTATTTATGTATGTTTTGCAAAACAATGTCTTTTCATAAATGATAAATGCAAATCCAAAAATTTCTTCACAAATATGTTTATTTTCATGTTTATAAACTTTCCCTAAAGTTTTATTATTTTTGGATATTATTTGTTATTTTTATTGTAATTTTAAAAATCACACTTTAAACCTGAAAAACCCATGTATTAGTTTGCGGTCGACCGGACGTGTTGCCGCGGTCGACCGCCCAGGAGCCCAGACTCTAGTCTATTTCTTAGGTTCTCGCGATCGACCGGACGTGCCGCCGCAGTCGACCGCCACAGTGATCGTTACACAGTAACGACTAGTTCTAGATTTTATTTTCTTATGGGTTTTTGGCCTTTTTGCTTGGCTTTTTGCTGATGTCTTGAGAAGTTATAAATACCCCTATGCTTTAAACTCTTTAACTAACCAAAAAAATTGTTTAATCATGTTTTGCAAGAGTTTCAAGAGGTGTTTAGTTGGTGTTTCAAGTTTTGTTTCAAAAGAGGAGTTTTTCACAAAAAAGAATGATTTCAATTTCAATTGAGAAATTCACCCTCTTCATCATTTCTACAAACTCATTGTGTTTATAGAGAAGTTTTCTAAACTCTATTATCTAGCTAATTTATCATTGAATTTCATATTCATATTTTTACTAGATTAATTTGAGTTAGATTTTTATTGTTCTCATTTATCACACACATCCCTATTGAGCTTTTGATATTTCATACAATATATTGTTGGGTTGTGGTGGGTGATATAGTGAGAGTGAGCTTCATTGTATTCTCATTCATTGTAGAGAACAAATATTTGTATTTGAGCTTTATTTGTGAGTATCACTTTGTAATACACATTTACACCGAGAGGAGCGTGTGGTGAGGACGTGATCGATACCAAGAGGAGTGGCGTCGGTAGTGAAGCCTAGAGAGGTGTGAATCCGAGCACTTGAGGGAGGCGATACGTGAGGACAAACACTTGAGGTTATAGTTTGTGTGATTACATTGTGAGTGGATTGTGAGAGTTTCCTGTGAGTTAGAAAACCGAGTGTGTAGAATCTTTTTGAGAAGATAGTGGAGATCTCCTCGAGGTGAGGAGCGGAGACGTAGGTCAAAGGTTGACCAAACTCCGTGATCATATCTTGTGTTTACGTTTGCATTGGCGTACATTTATTGTGCTCTTGCTTATATCTTGTTTATCTTGCTTGTAATTTATATTCTTGCTCATAACTCATTCATATAATTGTGCTCTTGCTTATATCTTGTTTATCTTGCTTGTAATTTATATTCTTGCTCATAACTCATTCATATATCTCTTGCAAGAATTAATTAATCAATAACTTGCTTGTAATTTATATTCTTGCTCATAACTCATTCATATATCTCTTGCAAGAATTAATTAATCAATAAGTTTTTAAATTGACATAATACTAGATTAGATTAGCATTAACCCTATTCACCCCCTCTAGGGTACTTTCATGAGTGTCTATGAGTGGGGCAGAGCATTTATCTAAAGCAATATTAACTCGACAATGGTGGTATGTAAAGGTTTTTACTAGGAAAGGTGGAGAACATGCTCTACATGGTTAACATCTGGCACTGCCTATGACCAGAAGAGTTGATATTCAGCCAGAAGGAATCAAATAACGCTACGTGTTAGACCAGATAGTTACACTCAGTTAGCAAAAAAGACTATATTATGCTTATGTAAATATGTAATACTAGTTATAGTTACACTCAGTTAGCAAAAAAGACTATATTATGCTTATGTAAATATGTAATACTAGTTATGATTGCTTTCATGTTATTCCAATTGGGCAGTGTGACACACTATGTTAGGATAATTTGTGTTTTTACCTAGAGCCAGTTACATAGTTTGGGCCATGACAATTTTACTGTGCAAGCCACATCTGTTGTCTTCATCATGAGAAAATGTACACCGACTTATGATGGTTAAATCCTTTTAAGTCTACTTCAAACACATACACAAAGAGAAAATGGATATCATGTAGCACAAATTTAAAGCAAATTCTAAAACATTTGTTATCGCTGAGTCCAGGCTTCGCCTCATTAAAAAAGAGCTCTAGAGTCTAGAGTATAAAATTTTAACTCTTAACCTTTACCCCGCATGGGTCCAGGTTTCAACCCATAAAAATAGACATCTACAGTGTAGTGTATAAAACTTTAACTCTCAACCCTTACCACAACTTTTGATTTTTTGTGTAGTGGCAAAATCCTTTGACATATATAAATATACACATGCACACACCCATCCACCACCCACAAATACACAACCACGTGTGGGCATGCATGCGTATATAGGTATAATACAATACCTAAATCAAGTGTCGCGGTATTAGAAATTAGAAAATGATATACCATAAAAAACACGTGAAATCCTAAACAACTTTATATGTAAAAAGAAAGAAATGGATTCGAAATCTAAGGTGGAACCAAAAAACATTGCATCAAATTTGTAACAAAATGAAATAAATCCAACTAGGAAATAGAAGACGTTGACACAGTTTTTTAAATGTAATAACATCAGTCTATTTGTACCAGTAAATAAGAATGTAAGACCAAGGGAAACAAAATAACAAAATTACCTCAGCACGTGTTGGGGTCGGATATTCAATCATTGATGCAAGAAGTTGAGAAGCTACAACAACAGGCTTGTTTAACTGTCTGCACATACAGGTAATTTCCTCCTGGATTGCTGGAATCTGCTCAAGTGGAAGATGAACTCCAAGGTCACCACGTGCTATCATGATCCCATCAGATGCCTCTATAATGTCTTTTAGATTCTCGAGAGACTCCATGCTTTCAATCTTTGCTAGAACTTTTATGAACCTGTGAACAATATTGGTTCAAGTAATAGAAAATTAAATAAGAATGACACAGAAAGCTTCATTTACAAATTATAACTACAATTGTAGACCCTACTTCTGTCTGTTCATTCATACCTTTGAATAGAGATTGGCTCATTTGGAGCTCTGAGGCCTTTTTTTAGTTTTTTTGTGTGTGTCAGGATTCAATAAGAAAGAGACGATTCCAAAGGCGTGTAAAAAATAAACCATATCCCAAGGTGCATGCATAAAAACCCTTTCATTTTAGTCACTCACTCTGCATTAAGATTAAAATTCCCAGGACCAGTTCAGCAAGAGTAACATGCAAGCCTTTCCGCATACACATCATATGGACACTTGGGCATCCAATTACACAAGCAATATTTCATACATCAGTATAAGGCAGTAAAGAAAATTCTAACTCCAAATGGAGCGGAAAATGCTTTGTCAATGTGTCATGCATGAACTAATGATGGTTATGGTGCCAACTAGTAAATATTGAGTCATCACAATCTCCACAAGCTGCCATTTCAAATATTTATATAGGGGTTTTTGTCTTTAGGTCCAATGGTTTACCCTAATTTATGTTTAAGCCCGACATCTCTTATCTGCACCTTTAAACCCATTCAACCTTTTGTATTTGTCTTTAAACCCAAATGGTATAATTTGAGTTAGAGGATATTGTACTTATACTATTTTGTGGCAAAACCCTCCCAAAATACCCCAAAAATATCCCAAGGTGCATGCATAAAAACCCTTTCGTTTTAGTCACTCACTGATATGTAAATGCCTGCATTAAGATTAAATTCCCAGGACCAGTTAAGCAAGAGTAACATGCAAGCCTTTCCGCATACACATCAAATGGACACTTGGGCATCCAATTACACAAGCAATATTTCATACATCAGTATAAGGTAGAAAAG